TTCTGACCCACAGCTTGTTATTTATTATTCCTCTTTATTTTTATAATGTGCCACCGCATGGGAGCCACCCTCACAGACTAAGATTTCACTGTGATGGTAAAACCTCTCATGTGCACAGGACAGTGGCCAGAAGTTTAATTTTGTCGGGTCACATGCAACCATCTAGGAGCCCCTTGCCAGAGAAAGGACAATGGGTGGACTCTTCATTTATTTCAGTGTCCCTGGTTGGCTTTACAGGGAGGGGAGGCCATACTTTCTTCCCTGTTAGCAAACACGTCCTCTTTTATTTTGGGGACCTTCAGGGAGCACGGCTCCTCCTAAGGCACAGGCAGACACAGAGTTCTTGCCGGGTGCTGGGCGTCCGCGGCCCCCGGAGGCAGCAGTTAGGAGATGTGGTGCCTGGTGTGGGAGACTGAACAGCCAGCCAACTGTCTCAAAGCTTGCTCCTTTGTGTGGCGACCTGCGAAGATCAGCATTGCCGCAGGCAAGGCGGCTTGCAGGCTGGCTGAGGCAGTGGACCCCCAGGCAGGGCCACCTGCCCACCACGGCTTGCGGTTTGCTGCCACTTAAAGCATGCAAGCAGACCCCTGCCCCTGCCCAGCAACACGAAAGCACGCGAACGGAGCCCGCCAAAAGGAAAGCACGCAAAATGTGTGCGCATGTGCTGGGCTGTGCTCTATAAAAAAGGCTGCAGTCTCAGACTGCGGGGGGATCTCATGGGACACCATCAAAGATGCCGGAGGAAGATCACCGACCTCGTGAAGAGACCACCAAAGATTCCGTGTGCGATCAGTGAAGACCCCAGAAGCACAGACTCCGGGGATGCCGCAGATCCATGGTGGTGACTGTCTGCTCTCTTCTATCCGGACCTCTTGTTTTATTGCTTATCTTTCCTTCCTTCCTTTCCTGTCGCTGCTTTCTCTCTTTCCCCCGAACAATTAATAAATGGGTGGACTTACGCCATCTGACCTCGTTTGTGTCTTAATCTCACTCGAACCTGAAACGAGAGGTTGGTCCAGCCGCCCCTAGCCTCCCAGACTTGTCTGAGGTCGGCTAGAAAGCAAGGGGGCCTTCCTCTCGTCCAAACAGAATTGGTTCGTAATGCCTGGATTGCTACTCTTCTGCACGGTATAAACACAGCAATGTTGCTCTGCAGTGCTAACAGCCAAACTTCAGACTGATATGCCTGGGAAATTTAGGATTTACAGAACTACATCTTTAAGTGCATTAAGTACCTGGGAGGGTATGTTGGTGTGCTCTTTACATTATGTACACAAGCTCATATACAACCAGAGAAAATAAGGGATGGCAGGTAACTCCTGACATGGAACAACATACAAATCAAGGTTTAATACTACACTATTATTCCCATTTTCACAGAAAGAAACAAGGGTACAAAACTGTCAAACAAGCTGATAGATATCATTACTAACCTGGTAGCACAACAGCAACGCTTGATGAACTAATTTGTCAGGGTAGTGACATTGTAGGCACATGACATTGTAAGCACAGAGCTTTGGCCCTGAATAAAATTTTTCTGGTTATTAGGTCATTAGAGGAAAAAAATAAAGGCTGTCTGAATGTTACCCTTGAGGCAATCCTCAAATTTCTAGCTCTTAGGCCATTCCCCTATGTGATTTGTGTTTGATCACAAAAATAATCGGAGAACAGACCTGCTGGAGATACATAGCAAATTTAATTAATAGTAAACAGACTAAGTCTTCTAAAATATTATTGTTCCACTGTAACACTAAGCAGAAAGACTAACTGAATGGATAAGTAAATAATTAAACAAACGCTTGAAAAGTAATAGGCCGAAAGTGGCCATATGCTTTTAAGGCGGCCTTAGCACCGAGTTCACTGAATTCCCCTTAAAGCCATCCTTTCTCCAGGCTGAACATGCCCAGGTCCCTCAGCCTCTCCTCACAGGGCAAATGGTCCAGCACTGATCATCTTGGTGGCCTTCACTGAACTCACTCCACTTTACTAATGTCTTTCATGTATGGTGTTAGAGGGGGCAAAAGGGGTCGGTATCTTAGATGTGGTCTAATGCGTGCCGAGTAAAGGGAGACAATCATGTGTCTTCATCTACTGATGGTGCTCTAGCTAATACAGCTTGTTGGCCTTTGCTGCTAGCACATACTTTGCCATGACTGCAAAGCCAAGGTGTCAGGCAAATAGTTACTTTATGTAGCAGGACCTGCAAGAAGACTTAGAATCATAGAATTGTTTAGGTTGGAAAAGACCTTTAAGATCATCAGGTCCAACTTGCTAAAGGTTATTCCTCAAAAGATCAAATCTGGAGAGATGCTGAACATCAGAAACTGCATTCAGGGACACTGAAGTCCAGAAATGGACAAAAATCAATCAGCAGAAGAGAGAGACAGAATTGTTAATGGCAAAAAACTCAAGCTACTGGTTTAATTTCCAGAAGCTGTGGTAGTAGCTGTACAGTACTTTGCAGAACAAGGTTCCCTTTTCATCCGGCGAACCAGCACAGGAAGAAATCCACAAGCAAAAGACTGTTGGCTACTAATTAATTCTTCTTGCAAGTGATGGAGATGCAAAGGCAGGAGAGAAGATGCTTTTAAGGCTAGAGATTACCTACACGAACATAGGTGCAACGAGAAGAGCAGGTGAACTCCAGAGAAAGGAGGACAAGTGAAGCAAACCCCAACACTCACCGAGGCCTGTGCCAGGAGACCTGCCTGAACTATTCTACAAACAGTAGGAGGGTGGCTATGAGCTGTTTAAAGGAAAGGGGAAAAATCTACGTCGGTCACCCCATGATAACATGCAGAGTTTTGGACAAGGAAGAACCCCTCTGTTCACTTTTGCTGGGAATTAACACCTCAGACTGAGGTTAATCAGTGGCAGAAAACTCGCCAGTTGAATGGAGACAGGGAATGGAGGAGAAACAAAAGCTGAATTGAACAAACTGCTAGTGTTCCCCCACAACAGCATTTGGGAGAGCAGCAAACCGCTCTGGGATGTCAAATGCTTCTAGGAAGTTCAAAGTCTTTAAAGATTTATAAGTTTCTAATAAGATCTAAATGGCTAAAGCAGGTGAGTTTTGCTGAATTATCGGTCTGGTGCTTTCTTATGATTGTGTGCTGACAAAACCTGATTACTGCAAAGTTTCAGGTGCACCACAAACTCTTGGAATAACAGCAAGTCTGGTTAAGGAGGGTAGCCATGTCTGTTGATGCCAGGGAGAGTGAATAGCTGAATTACTAGCCACTAGGAGGCTGGTAAAGGCTGGGAAGATTTTTGAATTTTCTTTCCACTTTCCTTTAGGCCAGACATGGGAACCTCATAAGTGAACCTGTCACTGGATGGGGTGGGGTAAGGTACCTACCCACCTCCCCTGCTGCCTGAGCAAAATGGCTGCCGATCCTGATACATCCTCCTCTCCCACAGCGTCATATAGTAGCATAGATGGGCTGATTCCTTCTGAGGGGGAGACAGTCTGCAATGCCTTTCCACCTACTCATGCACTTCTTGCTAAAGCCCCTTTCTCCACTGTAGGAATTCCTCAGTGGGAGAAGGTGTCGATTCACTGGGGAATGAGGCAGAAGGCAAAAGCTTGCTTTACACATTAGCCCTAACCAGCGCACCGGTCTGCTATGCCACAGAGCACTGCATAACATTTTTGTAGACCAGGGTTACATTCACCTGCATGACAATATTGTTACTCACTGTTTACACAGACCTGTGTGTGTAACTCCTATAAGTGCATGACTGCTGTACAGATGCATGGGAGAATGTGTCTCCTGCCCCAGTCAATCTATAAGTTAATTTAACATACAAGCAGATGAAATTAAAGGCTGGAGAGAGGAAGGAGGTTGAGAAAGAAGTCAGGACATTGACATCCTGAAGTTCCACAAATATTCTGTACTGTGTCCAGCTCTGGAGCCCTCAGTACAAGAAGGACATGGAACTGTTGGAGCGGGTCCAGAGGAGGGCCACAAAAATGATCTGAGGGCTGGAGCACCTCTCCTATGAGGACAGGCTGAGAGAG